CCTGAATCTTTCAAATTACTGTCAAAGGAGAAATTCCCAAACCTGCGAGATTTTGGACTGAAAATGACGTCAATGTTCGGAAGCACATATACACGTGAAAGTGCCTTTTCCTTAATGAAATACATAAAAAATAATAACAGAAGCAACCTTACCGATTCTTCCTTACGTCATTTTATGAGTGTCTACAACTGAACTGGCGGTGGAGATTTCTTCATTGGTGGATAAACCCGATCGACCACAGTCCTCACATTAATTGGATACATCTTTTTCGTTGCTTTGAAACAAAACCCATTTATATAGACGATACTGTGAAACAATCGATTTAAAGAAAAGTTCATTTATTTTATTTACAAAAAAAATTCATACTTTGGATAATCTTTTAGTAGACATTAGTAAGGACGAGTCTTTGCCAAGCACTCTTCTTCCTATTTTTTGTGCGACTAGGATTACTCCTGTTTGTCTACCTCTTATTCTGTTTCAGTCGTTGTTGACTGTACATTATTTTCCACCTTTTTGGCGGCCTTCCAACGGGTTCGCTAATCTATCTGGTCCCATTCGGTTTACATATTCGTTTCAGTTTTTTTTCTTGTTTTTATCCACCCGTTAACATTTTAAATTTTGCATTGGCTCGTATACTTCTGTTGGTTTGTCTGTCTCTTATTGATGCTATTGATCTTAATACTTTCATTTTGATATTGTTGATTTGTTGTTTCGTTTTTCTTATATCGATCCTTGTGTCCGTTGCATATGTTAGGATTGGTCTTACTGTTATCTTGTATACTTTCATTTGCTTTCCGTGGTCCAATATTTGTTTCTCCATATTGTTTCTCGGAAGCAACCACTTACTCTTTTGCCGCTTTTGATGCATGCCTTCTGGTCTTTGTTCTTGTATCCCTTCCACTAGTGATCTCTACTCCTAGGTAATTAAACTTCATTACTTGTTCTACAAATTTGCCGTCTATTTCTAGTTTGCATCTATGGGGCTCATTGCTGATCATTATAAATTTAGTTTTTTCTACTGATATTCTCATATTAAGTTTTTTTGCTGTGATATTGTAGGTATAGAGCTGCCTTTGTAGAACATTTTCGTAATTAGCAACTAGTATTACATCATTGGCATAGCATAGTATCGTGATTTTATGTGCTCCCATGTACTATCCGTGTCGTTTTCTTACTTCGTGAATTATTTGATTCATCACCACATTGAATAACAATGGGCTGATCAAGTCTCCTTGGTGTATTCCTCTCTTTAAGTCTATGCATTCTGTTTTTTCTGATGGCATTATAACTCTGGTCTTGTTGTTAGCCAAACATTAAAAGATATAAATTGTGGAAAACTTGACGTAAATTAGGATTTGCTTATGAGATTTCCAATTAAAAATCTGTGCTTATCGTGACAAAAAAAATATATGTAATGGGGTAGGTAATATTTAAGGGAAATGTGAAAATTGAAGGAAGCATAATCGGTTTACAATTTGTCAATAGCTCACTACTAAGTTTAACTCTAATTAGAGAACTGAAATATAGAGAGGATGGGTAATACAATATAATGGTAAAAACCAACCTGAAACTAACGGTTTAAGATGTTTTCGACTAACCCACCCTGTATCTAATGGAATACAATACAGCAGTTAACCTTATAATCCGATTACGAAGGTATTTTGGTTACAGATGACCGACCAGTGTCGTAGGATATATGATTGAAACATTTATTTGAGCTAAATAAATATATTTTTTAAGTTGTACTTATGTAAATTGTATTTTTCTTTTAATAAAACTTCTTTTCTTCTCATTTGTAAAAGATACATCTATTTAATTAACGAGAAAGGCGCTAAATGTAGCCTGGCAAAATTTTTAATTTGTTTTAAATGTATCCATTATTCTCGAATCCGGAGAAAACTAATAAATATTTTTTAAAAATTAAAACGCAGAATGAAAGATTACATTATTACTAAGGGTAGAAAGTCACTGAAAACTTCTACAATGTTTATTTTAATATGTTTTGTAACAGGGGTAAAAATAAAAGAGAAAATATAGTATAATTTTTAATTGAAAATATTGCATGTAAAAGAAACTTTTTATTTATTCTAATAAATATTTCATTCTGCCTTTAAATTTTTCAAAAATGCTTTTTTAGTTTTCTCGGGATTTGAAAAAAAAATGGATACATTTAAAACACATTGAACATTTTGACAGGCGACATTTTGCACCTTTCCCCTTTCATACCTTACGATTACAACTACTATAACTTACCGTATATAATTACGATTAGAAAACTATTCAAATTCAAAATAAATAGGATCAACTTCGGAATCCAAGTCGTCTTGAGAGTTAATAATTAGCGGTTGTGTCTCTACGGTCACATCAGTTATGTTATCAAGATCCCACATTTTTTTGTTCTTCTTCTATTACATGTCTTACTGCATCTATCCAGTTGTGTTCTGTAATATGTTGTAAAGACTCCTATAACAATTCACGTACAGCTTGTATTTTATATGACGTATTTTTTCTAGCCACATAACTTTTCATTTGTGCCCAAATGAGTTCAATTGGATTTATTTCGCAGTGGTAGGGTGGAAGTCTAAGGACTGTGATGTTTCGCCTTTCCGCCATTTTGTCAACTACGTATTTCTTAAACTTAGATTTGTGTTGCCGGGCAATTTTTAAAAGTTCTGCTTTTACCCTTCCATCTTCGTAAGGCAGATACTTTTTCCGCAGCCAGTCAAGAATATTCTGTTTCTTCCACGCAGTCGTTTTACGTCTTTCTACTAGTCGTGAATGATAAGGTGCATTATATAATACTATAATTGAATTTGGTGGTATGTGTTCAATCATCTGCTCAAAATACTCTTCGAAAACATCAGCTGTCATCTCCTCGTAATAATCTTTTGTGTTTTTGAACTGAAATTCCAACAAACCATGCTTAACAAATCCTTATTTACTGCAAATGTGAGAAATTATTAATCTACTGCCTTTACCAGAAGGTGGGAAGATATCAGTAGACCAAACTTCCATAAAGGCTTGCCTGGAGCTTATTATATTTTATCTGACCAACTTTTTTTAAGTATGACCTAAGTTTACCCACGTTTCATCGTGGTAGAAGATTAGCCTTCCTTCAGCCCGGAATTTTCGTATGGATCTTAGATAATTTCTTTTCCAACATATCTCCTCCCGGTCAATCAAAAGTGATTTTCGGTCTGATTTCTCCCACCGGAAATTTAATTCTTTTAAAACTTGTCGCAATTTAGTTCGTCCGATATAAGGCAAATCCGGGTCGTCTCTAACTTCTTGTAAAATTTTGTTTAGGTTTGGTATTTCTTTTTTGAAAATCCTTGAATTTTCGTTCGAATGCCATTTTTGGCAAATTCATCAATTTCAATAGGCATTTTCTCTCTCTTTAAGTGTTCGTTTGTGTTTGGGTTAGCTATACCGTGGTTTTTTCTTTCTGATAGGAACCTATATATAGTTGATCCTCCTACGCCAGTCATGTTGGCAAAACTTTCGAATATGTTGCGAACAGTGTTTGTGGGATTCTGAGAAACCAGAGCATCGTGAACATTCACGACAATAATCTTCTCTCTTGGTGAATAGACAAACTTACTGACTGGTCGCAACAGTATGATGTTAATGATGAAGCCATCACAAACAATCCAACAAAACGAGCACGAGCGAAAGGTACGTATATGTGCGTAGGAATATGAAATAAAAAATCACTCATGCACTGCCCATAATTTGCAAAAGAAATATTCGAGACGCTAATTACTACCGCAGACGCGGAAACACCGACGAGCCGTAAATAACGTGGGATCAAAAACGTACTAAACAAAAAAATTGTTTTCGTTCGTAATAACTTTACCCTTTCAAGTTAAGTTTCGATATAATCTGAACAGACGAGGCACATAGCCAAAGCCGGCATCTTTATATTCATTATATTAATGAAAATCTGGGGAATTTCATCCTAATTATCTTGCAACGAATAGTACCTTTAGATATGAATTCCAGGTTTTCTAATTAAGTGATTAAACGCGAAGATTAGTATTGAAATATCCAAAGAGATAAGATATGCTTATTTACAAAATTGTTAATGAATAAAATCTTATTTTTAATAATATAATATAATAACCAACATTAGCCGTGAAAGTTTTAATTGTTTTTTGCTAAATATATAAGAATTAAAACATTATTAATATTTATAAAAATTTTGGAAAAGAAAATAAATGTCAAAAGCATTAATTTTAATGAATAAACACCTCAGGAACGCCTATGATGGTACAAATTTTACGACCGTTTTATGAGTTTGAGGCTCTCTTGCTCTCAACAATTTGTGGACGGATAATAGGCAAACATTTTTTTTTACTTAAATGAATTGATACATAAAGGACATTCTGTAAAAAAGTTTGGCAAGAAAACTGGTTACATATGCTCGTCAGGTATTTTTAGAATGTGTGTTTACGGACTTAAAATTTGAAAATGATAAATTTTCATTAAATCTAAATTCGTTTTATTTTACAATATTTGATAGTTATTATTTATATATTACATAAAATATTAAGAATATTTACATTTACATTTTTATGAACAATAAAACAAATATATGGCACAGGGCAATAGAACAAATATTATAAGTATGTCAAAAATGCTATTCATGGAATTCTCGCACACGCTTGAAAGCTCGTACTATTAAATTTTACATCCACGAAAAAAGTAACAACCTTGCATTTGTGACATAACTTAGTATTATTCGTTAACTACTCACATAAATATATATTAAATTTTACCCAGATATCTTATGGACATACCAAAATCCGGTAGGTTTATAATTAATTAGCTTTAAAAGTCAGTTTTGAAGTTGGAAGAAATTTAAAAAATAGACGCGGGTTCGTATATATTAGCAATATCTATAAATTATATCCGACGTACCGCAAGGTCGATATTTTTTTATATACTCTTACGTTAGTTACGCTAGATAATTGTATATCCCTGCGTTTACTATAAAAACAAGCAAATCTTGTCACTTAAATATAGTTCTCTCACGTCTACAGTACGACACAGACCTATTTACAAAATGTACAAATTGGTGGTGTTGTTCGCCGTCTTGGCTGCTGTCTCTGCCCGACCCAGTTATCTAACACCAGTGGTACACAGCGCTGCAGTGATCGGTTCCGTACCAACCAGCGTCAGTGAATACGGCAGCTCCATCATCCACGATCATGCTTTGGTAAGCCCTGTTGTGCATGCTGCTCCAGTTCTACATGCTGCTCCATTGGTCCACTCTGTTCATGCTGCTCCCGTTGTCCACGCTTATTCTGCTCCAGCCGTTGTGTCTTCTCCCTATGTATCTGTCGGACATTTATGGTAAAAACCAAGAGGCTCTGTAGCCTAGAGGCTGTGTAAATATAATTACTTTCATGTGTTCTAAATTTTGACTGCAAATGATTTTAAATAAAATGTTAAAAAACTATTTTACCTGTTTTTTTACTATAATAATATAAGAGGCATACATAAGCATAATTAAGTTTTTATACCCAAAATTTGAAACTAGTGTTTTAATACGTTTTTTATATTTTTTTGTTATTTTTATCTACTTTTCCCTTTAAAAATCATTTTCTTGATTTATTAGCTCAAATATTACTTTTATTAATTTTTTCCATTCAATTTAATTTCTTATAGTAAATCTATTTATGTATTTCTTTATAATATTCCTGCATACTGTCTATTAACAAATATAAGGAACGCCAAGTATTTGTACTTATCTTATTGGTAAATATGAAATAAGCTTTATAAAAATTGCATATTATGGCTAATTTTTATTCATTACTTGCAGTATTGACATATTTGTTTTTTAATAAACCTTTAAAAATGAAATCTCTAAATTTTACAATAGACAACTGCAAATAACAGTAACAATACATTTAGGAAAACCATCGAGTTAAAATCTATGGAGAAGCTATGAGCATATTAACGTGTGTATTAAAAACGGCGTCAGTAGATGTTGCTAACGATCATACCAATATGGCGGTGTGATCGGGGCTGTGACTCAATAATATTAAAACTACTATACAAATATGACTAGTTATTCAGAAGATTTAACCATAATCTAAAAAAGTGTAACACATTTTTAATAAACTATGATTTATTTATCCCGCGGTAAACACTAAAAACACGACATGTATTATACATAAACATATATTAATACAGTCAAATAACAAATTGTATCTGAAAGAGATAATAATATAAATAATATTTTAAAGGGTAAAATGAATATAGGGTATGAAATAAAAAAATACGTTCGTTTTACAACTTATATATTTGATAATTACAAATTAACTGACACTTTAGTTCAATTAACAAAGTTAGAAAAGTTGTGTAGAAATCATCTTCATCATCACAATGGAAATACTGTGTACAAATAAAAATAATTATGTGCAGTAGATAGTAAGACATTTTAAGATATTTAGGATGAAGATATTTGAGTATTCTCAAGAATAGCAAGATCTATCTTACTTATAAGATTGTTTATGGAATACTATTAATTTATTTTCTAAAGTATAAGCCATTACTTTGTTTACATATTTGTATACTAACCTGTGGAACGTTATTTCTAAAGATTTTTTATTAACATAGTTTCTGCTACTGCAACTACGTTTAGAACAAGATCCATTATGATGCACTATCACAATATAATATTACATTTTTATAAAAGTATTATAAAACTAAAAATAATGAAAAAACAAAAAACGTAATGCCCTCTCTATAGATTCCTATTACTCATTTAAGGCTGAGTTTGGAAAACTCAACTACCACAGAACACTGTATACTATATTATACAGTGTGTTCATAAAGTGAGGAAACGGTGTTCAGAGTTCAAGCTCTGAAAAGTCTTTTTTTTTTGTTTTTTAACCTTTTAGAAAAAAAAGATTTTACTCTCACTATCTTGTCGGATGTGACGTCATAGATTTTTTTTAATAGAAAGGACCTATTTTTATGTAAAAAATTAAAAGCCCATATATTTCATGAGGAATACCAAGCTGGCTTTAGAAAATATAGATCGACCAAAGATCAGTTCTTTACTCTAAGACAGCTGCTTGAACAAGGATGGGAATTCAGTAGAACTATCTATAAACTTTTCATAGATTTCCGGCAAGCGGACGACAGCATTAGAGGGGATCCGATGTGGAATGCAATGGCAGAAATTTCAGTTGCAAAAAAAATTATCCAGCTTGTTAAAGTATGTGTGAATAGCTGTAGATCCAGAGTACTGATAGGTAACAAACTCTCAGAATCTTTCAAAATAAGCAGCGGCCTTAAACAAGGAGATGCGCTGTCACCTTTCCTTTCTAATATTATCTTGAAGAAAGTAGTAAGAGCAGCACAACTTAAAACAAAATTACTGACATGGACGAATATTACTACTAGCATCTTCTTCTTACGGTTCCTTAAGGACGTTGGCCATTAAATTTGCCCATTTAATCTTATTTGTAGCATCCCCGAATAGTTCTATGGAGGTCATGTTCGTCTGTTGCCGTAGGTTTTTAAGCCAAGAGTTGCGTCTTCTTCCTGGTCCACTTTTGCTATTGACTTTGCCTTTGATTATAAATAAGAGCAGTTCATACTTTTGATTTCTTATGATGTGACCAAAATATTGTGTTTTCCGTTCTTTTATTATAATCATAAGCTCTCTTTCCTTATTCATCCTTCGAAAGACTTCCGCATTTGTCGTATGGCTTATGTAGGATATTCTGAGCATATTACGGTAACACCAGATTTCGAATGCTTGGATTATTTTTTGTGTTGCTTCTGTCATTGTCTAGGCTTCAACACCATAGAGCAAGGTGGAAAAAACATAGCACTTAAGTATTCTAGTTTTCAATGAGATGCCCAGCTGGCGGTTGCATAGAACTTTTTGGATTTTGTAAAACAATGTACGTGCCTTTTCCGGGCGTATTCTTATCTCTAGTGAGTGGTCCCAAGTTTCGTTAAGATTACTTCCAAAGTACGTTGTTTTGTTACTCTTTCCAGATCTGTTCCGTCGACATTGACCTTCACCCTTCTGTTTTGGTGCTTGCCGTTGACCATCGTTTTTGTCTTCTTTGTATTCAATTTTATTCCAAATTCTCTACAGGCTGTCGTTACTCGGTCCATTAAGCGTTGCAGAGCTTCAGCATTATCTGCCAGTATGACAGTGTCATCAGCATATCGCAGGTTATTTATACATTGCCCGTTTATAATTATACCATCCGAGGTGCCTTCCAAAGCTTTCTGAAATATCTTCTCAGAGTAAACATTGAACAGCAAAGGTGATAAGACACATCCCTGTCTTACTCCCTTCTCGATATTGATTTTTCCAGATGTTTCTCTTTTTATTCTGATTTTTAGCCTTTTGTTCTTGGTAGAGGTTTGAATTGATCCCTAAGTCTTTATCGTCGATATTACATGACCTTAAAATATCTATTAGTTTATCAACTATTAGCATACGCAGATGATATTGACATTGTGGAAAACACAGGCACCAATAAATTGGTGGTAGAGGCAAAGAAAACTGGTTTAAGGGTACACGAAGAGAAAACCAAATACATGTGCATTTGTGCATCAACAGACAAAAGGGACGAGATAGAATAGGGCAAAATGTTACAATAGACCCATATAACTTTCGAAGAGTAGTTTTAAATATATCGCATTATGCTGTATCTTCATGCGTCTGGTATTTTGCAGTGTAATATTAGTTTTTGTATAAGTTTTGTCATTCAACTTCATTCCTATTATTATTTTTCTCTACATAGCACAATTTGAATCCGTCACCAAGTACTTTTGTTCTTTTTAGCTCGTCTTTTAAATGTAAGCAGTTTGTACTCCTCTTCTTAGTTGAGTTTAGTTCGACTCGAGCAGTCGAACGGAGCTGACGTGCCAAGCAGTGAGAGGAGCGACACCGCCGAAGCGTAGAGACGACCAAGTCCGAGCTGAACTTTTTAGTTCATATCGTGAATGTAAGCACGATAGCGGTGACTTGGCGTTAAAGCGCCTAGGCCTGAAAAAGAGAGGCAAAACCTTGCGTTGCGACTAGGTTAGCCGGGGAGATTTGTTTTTTAAATCAAATCTTCACGGAGGCCAAAATTGCGGCGTAAGGTAGTGAAGAAGCAAACGGGCTTCGCCCGTCGGGATATTCTCTGTGCCTCCGTTGGGATGACACTGTGAGATATAGTTGTTTTGAACTCTATATCTGGCAGACACGGCCCCAGGGTCAGAGAATTGAGAAATTCAAGTGGATACCGCTTTAGTTCTGTCCTAAAGTGTGAACAACCGCGGACAGGTCACTGGGTGGCACCCAGAATCCGTGCTGGCAGCGGGCCAGACGGACAACAAAAAAGCCTTCTTCCAAATTTTTTGATTAGGCCCCGCCCCCAACATGGACCGTTCTAGGTCCCCGCCGATTCGTAAGGCGAACCCATCTGCCCCTAATGGTTGTCGTGAGAGGAAACTCCACGGCAACATCTATGACGCGTTATCCCTTGATGCCACCGACGATTCGACCACGAATTATGAGATATTCAAAGATCTCCCAGTAGACGACGACTGGAAAGAAAACGCCGTAAACGAAGAAGATTTCAAGCGCCCAAGAACAAGAAGAGGCGTACGAAAGCCTGTGCGGAGGGAAGCCGCATAGACGACACTACGGACGAAGAAACGCAAAAACAGGCGACAAAAGCTGGTAAAAGAACCAGACCTCTAAAAAGCAGCGAGGACGAAAAGTCTGAACTGCAAAAAGCGAAGATGCTCCTTCAAGAAAAGGAGAAGGAAATCTTAGCCCTCAAAAAGAAAATCGAGGAACTACAAGACATTATAATAAACTCCAAAAAGTCCATAATTGAACATATGGATAAGAAATTCGAACAACTTGAGGGCAAGAAATCAGAGGTGACCCTGGAAAAACAGGCACCTAAACGAAAAGAAGACAACCTGGAAAACCAGGTCCCAATTCCAAAAAAGAAAGCTACGGGAACAATCCCCAAAGCCAAACAAACAGAAGAAAAGCCCAAAGAGGCACCCAAGCCCAAGAAAGTGAGAGAAGACTTCCCAGCACTCACCCCCACTAAACCACAAGATGAAGCTCAAACAGTACAAGATGGAGATGCGCAGGCTGAACTACAACCTCAAGAAACAGTCATGGAAACCGAAGAGGTACCAAGGAAAACCTTCGTACAGAAACCGCCTGTAATCAAATTACAGAGCGTGAATTACACGGGGGCCATATTAAACCTTGCACAAAAAGAGCAGGTTTATACAATCAATAAACTCTCAAGGAGTGGACGAGAGACATTAATACAAACGAAAAGCCCTGAGGACTACCGAAAAATGGTAAAAATTATTGAAAATTTCAATAAAGAAACCAAAATCCAGTGGATTGCTTTTCCACTGGAAGACGACATAAAACCACGAATGGTTTTAAGAGGGCTACCCCCATCA